CCAAAAAGCAGTCACCAGTGAAAAAAACAAAAACCTGCAAAAAAGAAGGGAAAAGAATAGCTACATGGTATAGACCCAAGGTTTCTTATTATTTAGCATTTTTAAAATGCTAAAATCCCTGCAATGGATAATAAGTAGAGATACTAAAATTCAGATAATGCAAATTATGTCTATAGATGTTAATGCATTGAACAATGCTACTAACATTTAAGAAATCAGTAGCAGAACACATAAACTATGGCAAATTAAAGGCATAGTTCATCAAAAAAAGATAAAACTGAATAAAGATAAAAATAAATACAAAGATAAAAACACCTGGGTTCAGAGGGGAACATAAATTTAGCAAAAATTCAGTGATGAGTCCTTATTTAAGGAAAAAGAATGTTATCACGACAAAGATTTAACAGAATTAAGTTCTAACTGCTGGGAGTAGTTAGGTTGAAATTCTGCTATGCTATCAATTTTTATTAAAACATCGTGACCATTTCTGTTGTCTGTATCTATGTAGATAATTGGGAGAGGGCCCTAAATAAAATACAAAAGCATCAAAGAACAGAAAAGATTAAAGGAGTTGGGTTTACTTAGTACATACATTATGGATCAACATTTAGCCCAGGGACTAAATATATACAGACTTTTATACCAATATATAGATTTTTATACCAAGTCTAAAAAAAGAATGACACTAGCTGTGGGACTATGAGCAAAATACAAAATCTCATAGGTACAATTACTTCATCTGCAAATAGGAATAATGATATCTCTACATCAACTGTTGTTCTGACAATGATTACAATCTTCAACTAATTCAAGCCTTGGGTATGGCCTTTAAAAGAGGGCTAAACATAGACTCAAAATGGCTGGAAAGAGAAATGAAACACAGAATGGATACACAAAGACACAGACTCAATTGTTCAGAGAAAGACCTGTGCACCTGCATGATTCCCCCAGGGAATTATCTGCATCAAGAAAATGGCAGAAACACCCCTTTACCGTCATGTAGACATGCAGAATACATAATTCCCAAGGAAAAGTAGAACCTACAATGGAAGTGGGGCCACAAGATTTCCCAGCAATCCTTCAGTCTTTTCCTCTTAAGTGAGGGAGAGGGGAGGCAGAGGCATGCTAAAGTCAATCACCAATCATTTATTAAACACCCTACTATGTGCTAGGCACTGTGATGAGCACTGGGAAAGCTCTATCAAGTTTAATATTTTAAGATAGGTTATCTCAAGTTTCCCTGGATTTCTGAGGATCAAATGAGATAATATGTAAAGTACTTTGCAAATCTTAAAAGCAATGTATAAATCTCCAATATTATTTCTTCAAGGCCCAATTCAGGTAGCATATTCTACATAACACTTTTCCTACCTGTTTCTCCTTTTCCTCACCCTAAAAGAGAGTGATTTCCTCCTAAAATTTCTTGCAACACATTGTTTGGACTTCTTTATACCTTATCACAATTACCTTTATACTGTAAAGCCTTTCTTCTTAAGTGTGTTGTACCTTTCTACTTACAGCTCATTGGGCATGGTAAGGGCTTAATAAATGTTTGCTGATTCTAACTGAAGTAACGTGATCAGCAAACACTCAGAAACCATAAGGTACCAAAAGTATATATTAAAGCTATAAAACTATAGGAGTCAAATGTGTAATAACGTTTCAATGGAAGAAAGTTTGGGATTCCAGTAAAATCTTTCCCTACTATAGAGAGACTGCAGATGCCTTCTTCCCCGATTTCCTCCACTTCCTGGGGTAGAAAAATGGGGCACTTCTAACTCCAAAATAAAACCTACCTTCACTTGTTGCCTCAACTTTCTTTTCTCTTACTTCCTTCTTAACCTTATGTAATATGGCTTTCAGCTTCATCACTCAACAGAAACTCCTCTATTCAGTCACCGGTGATCACTTGGAATCACCAGATGTGATGTCTTTTTCTAAACCCTCATCTTTCTCGACATATCTGCAGCTGCAGCATGTGACACTATTGCCTACCCTCTCCTCTTTGAGTTTTTGGGATACTGTTCTCTCTTAATTCTCTGTCTGCCTGTCTACTGCTCCTTTTAAGTTTCCCTTGCTGATTCCTCACCTATAATATACCTAGCAACTGTAGGTCTATCCCAAGGCTCTGTCTTGGGCCCTGTTCTCTTCTCTTTCTATACTTTCTCACTTGTTGATCTCAGTAGTTCTCACAGGTTTGCAAATGATTCCTATACATTTCAATCTACTATAGCCACAAATAAAGGCGGTTAGGTGGTATGATATATAAAGCATTGAAATTAGTTAGCTTGGCATCAGGAAAACCTAGGTCCAAATCCTGCTCCATTTACTAGCTGTGTTATGTGAGGGCAAGTCACTAACTAGCTCACTCGGCCAAAGTTTCCTCATCTATAAAATGAGGTTAACAATAGCACCTACCTTGGCATCAAATGAGATATTACATAAAAAATGCTTTGCAAACCTTAAGGCCTCACATAAATGTTAGATATTACTATTATTTTGTGTGTGTGTGTGTTGTGTGTGTGTGTGTGCGCATGCAACCCAGGTCTTTTGAGTTCCAAGAAAGAACTCATCTACAATGGCTTATTGGACATTGCACACTGGATATCACAGAAGCATCTAAAATCAATGGGCCCAAAACAAAACTCATTATCTCTCCTCCAAAATCCACCCTTCTCTTCCAAATTCCCCCTCTTTCTTTTGAGGGCACTACCCTCTTCCCAGTCACACAGGTTCATAACCTGAAGTGCAAAGTCGCTCTCAATTCATTCTCCCTCATTCCACATACCCATTCTTGTCATCTCTACCTCCCAAACACCTCTTGCATCAATCCTCTACCCACACAGGCTCTTCAAATACATCATCTCATTATTCACCTCTTGCATGTATTAACTGGACCTCTGCCTCAAGCGTCTCCCTTCTCTAATTCACAGACTTCACTAAAAAAACCAACTTACTTATGGGTTCATAAAAAACTGAAGTAAAATCTATTCGTACTTCAGAAAAAAACAAAATTCGGGTTACCTTTCTAAATCTTAGATTCCTAACCTATAAAATGAGGGTCATAGTTAAGTACTCTACGAGATTTAACGAAATATTGGTTGTCCCACCACAGAATTCGGGTTAGGTCCCCAGGTAAAAAGTAGGATGAAGCTCTAAGTGGGATATGAGATTGTACAAAAGGAAAACAATGTTCATGATACACAAATTGTAGAGTTGGAAAGAGGTGTGGTATAAAATATGGCCAGAGGAAGCAAAACTTTCCATACGGCAGCCAAGGAGGGAGAAGGTAAGGGAAGAGAATGGAAAATTCCAAGCACAAATGTAAGAATAGAATAGGAGGTTGCTGGGTGGCCATTTATATAGGAGGGACATATTTCAGTCTGGTAAAAACAACTTAAGGACTGGCTATAACTAACTTCTGGTATATTAAAAGAAAGACATAAGCAGTTTGTATATTTCCACTAAGTACTGAACTACAGTTATGTCCAATAATACAGCATGCCTATGAGTAACTGAATTACCATACAGTATACTTAAATCAGCAGTTCAAAAATATTTATAATATGCAGCATCTAAATCATCTGAACATGATGAAGACATATAATAACTTTTTTCTTTTATAATTTAGAAGTTATTCAATATTCTTACAATGTCTCTGAATCATTAATATGATCAATTACAATTACATAGGAATATAATTTAAATTCAAATTATTGAACTATCTGGTTGTTTGTATTCTGGATAAATACTACATATCTGGAGTTTTAAAATCCACATTAAAAACTAGGTAAATCAGCATCTTAGTACTAAGCTAAACACTGTGGGGAAATATAAAAGAAATAATAACTGACATTTTAAATTTGCAAAGCACTTAACATACATTACCTCATTTGAACTTTATTTAAACCCTGTTAAGTAGGTACTATGGGTATTCTTATCTCCCTTTTTACAGATGAGGAAACTGAGGCTCAAAGAGATGAAGTGACTTACCCATAACCACATAGCTAGGTCAGAGAGAGGCAGGATTTGAAACCAGCTCTTTCTGATCTGAAGTCTGGCTCTAAAATCCTCTATAGTTACTTAAAATACAGAACTGAATGATTCTATTTCTCACTTAACAAAAGACATCCTCTTTAACAAAAACATTTGGCATTGGCTCCTTTAGTAGATTTAAAATAATATTCAATTCACAAAATTTACTCACCTTTTAAAACCACATCTTTTTTATAAGTTTAATTTACAGAAAGAGGGGTTAGGTTATATGCAAAGAGAGAATGGCCTTCAGTAAAGATGCTCAGATACTGACATATGGCACCAACTGACTCCTAAGAATCTTTGAACTTAAGATATTTGCTTAATACACTATGTGACCATGGGCAAATCACATTATTTCTCTAGATCTCAGTTTCCTCATCTACACAATGAGAGAGTTGGACTGGAAAGTCTCTGAGGTCTCTCAGCTGTAGATCTATGATCTCAAGAATGAAAGAGAATAATACACACCTATTGGTTCTGGATAACATAAATATGTTTTGGTGAGGGATTAGAGTAGAATATCCTCAAGTCTATGCTGGATTTAAAATTATACAATTCTCTATTTGCTTGTTGGTTCCACAAACCTTCAAATGCAAGTGATTATATAAGTCAAAATGCCGCCCCATCCTTTTTTCAAAAAGTTGGAGGGGGGCAGCTAGGTGGCACAGTGGACAGAGCACTGGCCCTGGATTCAGGAGGACCTGAGTTCAAATCCTGCCTCAGACACATAATACTTACTAGCTGTGTGGCCCTGGGCAAGTCACTTAACCCCACTGCCTAGCCAAAAAAAAAAAAAAGCTGGAGGAAATGAGGGTTTGAAGTGAATAGTTAATTCTTAAGACTTCAAGGGAATTTCGCCCCATTCCCATTAATTATTGTAAATGAACTGAAAAACATGACTACCACACAATTTTAACCCCTATTTAACCTCAAATAAAATAAAAATTATTTGACTACTTTACCTCTGCTATTGCTTTCTGGATAGGCACACGTTGGTTTTTGTGGAGAGCGTCGTATATCCGAATTAAGGAAAGGCTTATCAGGTGGATAGCCTACATAAGAAGATGCAGACAGCCGAACCATGGCTGCAGTAGACAGAGGTGGTTCGGGTAGGATGTTCTGAAAAATGAAATAGAGTTTAGTTTAGCTAATGATAAATGATTAGTAAATACTCTTTAATAGGCCTCGAAATAGCAATAATCTTAGTTTTGGTAACAGTAGAGTTCAAATTTGTGCTTCAATCTGCTACCTCTGGATACAGTAGAAATAGTTCAGCATACCTATTACCATTATAAAAGAAAACTAACCAGTAATTTCATGTCTACCTGTATATAATGATACAACAAGCACTATAAAAGCAAAGAAAATTTAATTATTAGCATTTTTAGGTGAGCCTTAAACCATGTGTAAATGCTAGTTAGGCTTGATTGAACTATAGCCTATATATGCAATTTTTATAATCATTAAGTTATTTTTTAAAAGATCAAAAATACACTTCAAAAAAGATTACAACAGTCATCCCCTTGACAAGTATTGGTTGAGTCTATTATACCTAAAACTACAAAATAATTTTAAGGAATAGTTCCTGCCTTCAAGGATCTTACAACCAATTTAGTTAGAAAAGTCATCTCATTGTAAATTCTAAATCTTCTTAAAGAAACACTAAAAACCAGACACAGCAATCCCATTTTTACTAATCTTCAATCTCTTCTAGGCTACTTTTCTACTGCTTACAAACACTGTCTTTCTTTGTCTTCTCATACTCAAAAAACCTTCAATTGATTTGTCCATCCCCACTAGCTACTGTGCTCTCTCTCTCTTCCCTTTTTGTAGTTAAACTCCTTGAGGAGGCCATTTACAATAGGTACCTCCAATTCCTTTTCTCTCTCTTCTTAACTCTCTGTAGTCTGGCTTCCAACCTCATCATTCAAATGAAACCTTTCTCTCCTTCTCTCACTCCCCAACCCCCAAATCAAATCTTTTCTCAATCCTCTTCCTTGACTTTTCTGCAGCCTTTGACATCGTTGATTACCCTACCTCATTGATACTTTCTTTTTTCTAGGTTTTTCTGACCTGGTTCTCCTCCTATTTGTCTAATCACTCCTTCTCAGTTTCCTCTGCTGGATCATCATTTGGACTGTACCCCAATCATGGATGTTCTCCAAGAATCTGTCAGGAGCCTTCTATATTGTTTGGTGATCTCATCAGCTCTGTTGGATTCAATTATAATCACCATGCAAAAGATTCTCATGTCCATTTATTCAATCCTACCTCTCTCCTGACTTCCATTCTTGCATGCACACTTCCAACTCAACATGTCCAAAAATGAACTTATCTTTTCCCTCACACACTCCCTTCTTTCTAATTTCCTTATTACTGTTGAGGGTACCAGACTTGCAATTTGGGTGTCATCTTTGACTCCTCACTCCCACCCCTCATATCTAATCTTTTGTGTGTGTGTGGTTTTCTTTTTTGGTTGGGCAATGGGGGTTAAGTGCCTTGCCCAGGGTCACACAGCTACTAAATGTTATGGGCCTGCAGCCGGATTTGAACTCAGGTCCTCCTGAATCCAGGGCCAGTGCTTTATCCACTGCACCACCTAGCTGCCCCCTCCTCATATCTAATCTTATGCCAAGACCTATCAATTTTATCTTTGTATAGGCAAACAAAACATGCCCATGTAGGTCAATCCCAAAATAAACAGGCAAATGGCTAAATAAATGAATAAATGTCTCATTCTACACTCTAAATCTTCCACTCTTTATTAGGAGGTAGCTGTTTCATTAGTAGTACTCCGGGATTGTATCTTTGGTGATCAGAGTTCCTAATTCTTTTAAAGTTCTGTCTTTACTGTATTGCTATTATTGCATAAATTGTATACTCCTTCTTCTGTTCATTTCACTCTGCATCAGTTCATATATGTCTCCCCAGGTCTGCCTAAAACCACGCCCTCCATAATTTCTCACAGCATCAGCATTCCATCACATTCATGTACTATAACTTTGTCAATCATTATCCAATTTATGGGTATTCCCTCAGATTCCCATTCTTCGCTACTTCAAAAAGAGCTATATTTTTGTACATTCTTAAAGTTTGTCCCCTACTTTTTCTCCCCACATTCTCTCCTATTGAGTAAAATGGATCCAATATATGCACAGTGTAAGGGAAACTGAGGAGGACAGATCCTCCCCAGCCCTCTGTGTAACTGTCTCATGACCTAATGGTGTAACTGCCTCATGACCTGACATAAAGATAAGTGGGAGTTACTATGCATGACCAAGGTGACTATGGAAATGGAACATTAAATAACCAACAAGCTATGTTACCTGGGAAAGCAATTTATCCCAAAAAACATTTTTCTTGAGAAAGGTGTGTAACTGTCCAAGGAATTGATCACTCCTTGGAGACTTACACAAAAACAGGTATTTTGGGGTTCTGATCAAGCCTCAGAACCTTTGTTAAGGATGTGTGTGTGCCTGGATCTGAGTGCTCACCAAGGACACATACACAAAACAAAAAATTAAGATTGCTTTTCCCTGATTTACATGGATATATAAAAGGGGTCATTTGGGAAGGAATTTTTGGAGACTTTAATGTCAAATTTCTGTTGCATTCAGAAGCGGATCGCGTGCACAGCTTCTGTTGAGCCGGAGCGGGATGCCACTCTGTTGGCCTCCCTGACCAGACCTCTTGTCTGTTCTCCAGTTTCCCCAGTCTATTAGGTATTTGAGCTCGCCTGGTCAGTGAGTGTGTATCCTTTCTTTTCTTATTCTCCTTTTTCTTTATTTTGATTATAACTTATTATATTGAATGTTTTTCTTATCTTTATGTGTGTTTTGCTTTAATCATTATTGATCATTGTAAAATAAATGTGATTATTTGTTAAGTTTACACTGAGTACGTGTCATTATAACTCGAGATCCAAACCTAAATTGAAACTACGCAGTACGTAATCCTTTCGATTATGCATGTATACTTCTGTCTTTTGACTAGTTCAGATGAGAGAGAGGTTCAACTGTCAGCAGTTTCTCCTCAACCCCTTCTCCTTGTTTGTATAGATGTCTACTTGTATACTCTGATTATATGAGATATTACCTAGCCTTCCTTTCCCTTCTCCATCCTTCTGAGTGTTATTTCTCTTCCCTTCTCTTTTCATTCTTAAGATCATCAAGATATAACAGAATATTCCAAGGCCCTGCCTAATTAGACTCCCTCTATGAACTCCAATGATGACAGGGCTCAAAAGGGTTATATGTATCATCTTCTCATATTACAGAATGTAAGAAGTTTACCCTTGTTTAATTACTTATGATTATTCATTTCTATGCACCTTTTTTTTGGTTCCTCTCAACTCCTATGTTCAAACTTCAAAGTTTCTATCTACTTCAGGAAGTGATCAGTGGATCCTTTCTATCCACTTTGCCTTCTGGTTTTAAGAGTTCTAGGCAGCTTTTTTTTTTTAATTTCTTGAAATATGATGTCTAGGCTCTTTTTCTGGTCTTTGCATTCAGCTAGTTCAATGAGTCTTAATTTTTTTTCCCCTCAATGTTTTCCAGATTAGTAGTTTTTGATATGAGACATCTACATTTTCTTCTATGTTTTCAGTCTTTTCACCTTCTTTTAAAGTTTGTCTCGTGGAGCTATTGGCTTCTATTTGGTCTATTCTACGTTTCTGGGAGCTTGCTGCTTGGACAAGGTTTTGTACCTCTTTGTACCAAGCTATTAATTATCCTTTCAATTCTTTCTTCCATAGTTCTTCTTTTTCTATTTTTTCTCCTCTAGGACTCTAATTTTTTTGATAAAAAATTTTAAAACTTTTTTTTAAAACCACTGCTTCATCTTTTCAATGAATTCTAGCTGAGTTCAAGTTCAAATCATGTTTTTATTTGACGCTTTGTTCGTAGATGTTTTAGTTATTTTCTTCTGGCTTTGGGTCTTGAGCATCCTTGTGACCATAACTTTTTGGTGGGATTCTTGTTTTGCTTGGGAGAACAGAAGAGCAGTGGAGGGAGCTCCCAGAGAGAACAAAAAATATGTTTAAGAGAAATGAGGCAGAGAGAAATAGGATAAAAGGTCATGTTGGAAATTTCAGGGTTCTGGGTCATAAACGTAGCACAGTTAAAAGTAAAATCATCCTTCTGGGAATTACAATTGTTAAATTAAGACAGCAGGGTATTCAGTCTCTTTCAGCATTTCCTCCCAATCTATTTATACCTAGTCATTAGATTAATTTTAGAATCACATATTTGGAGCTTCAAGAGACCTTAAAGGTAATTTATTCAACTCCCTTTATCTTACATATAAGAAAATTAAGGTCCCTGAAACTGCATTTTAATTGTTTTAATACTTTGCTCAAAAATCTTCTATTGCTTTTTACTACAGAATCACAGGGTTTGCATTTCAGAGGCCATTTTATCCAACTTGTAACTTAATAAGAATCCTTCTACAATAAATCCCCAAAGGGGTCCATCTATATTTGCTTGAAGACCTCTAGTGAAGGAGGACCATGCCTTCTGGCATGGTCCATTCTACTTTTTGATTTTTGGTATTTCTATTTATTAAGAAATTTTCCTTTACTACCAGCAATTTCAACCTTTGTTCCTAGTTCTGTCCTCTGGGGCCAAACAAAACAAATCTAATTTCCTTTCCCCATAATGGCCCTTCAAAGAATTAGCATTTATGGTGCTTTAACTTCTGCAAAATGTTTTATGAATATTATCTCATTTTATCCTCACACAACCCTGAAAGGCAGACACTATTATTATCCCATTTGACAGACAAGGAAACTGAGGCACAGAAAGGTTAGATGATTTGCCCAGGATCATATAGCTGGTAAGTGTCTGAGGGCTGGATTTAATCTCAGGTCCAGGTCCATCACTATCCACTGCACCACCTAGCCATCTTAAATACTTGAAGACAGGTATCATGTCACCCAAGTCTTCGATTCTCCAAGTTAAACTTCCCCAATTCCTTCAAATGATTGCCCTACAACACGATTTTGAAACTTTTAACCATCCTGGGTTGTTCTCTCCTGGACGTTCTGAAGTTAGTCAATGTACTTCCTAAAATAAGGTACCCAGAACTAAACACAAAACACAAAAATACTTAGTCATTATTAAAACCTATTAGAGCTTTTTCTTTGGCAGTTATATTATCGAATTATCTGAGTTTGTGGTCCACTAAAACCCTCTGCTCTACTTGTGTATTTGTGAAGTTGGTTTTCTGAACTCTGGGCTAAGGCTTTATTTTTAAATCTATGTATTCCATTTAACTGTATTAGCTTTGGGCCACCATTTGGCTCCTGTCTCATCCAATTTGTTAGCTCTTATTCTTAACTTTGTTTATCACCTACACATCAACAACCATACACTGTTCCAAAGCACTGGTAAGTGTTAAATAGCACATGGCCAAACACAAGTCCCGGGGCCGCCACTCTGCAAATTCCCAAGCTGACAGTGAAGCATCAATGATTTCCCTTCAGGTTCAGCCAGCCAATCAATCCTGAATTCACCTAAATGTGCTTCTATGATTATTGAATTTGAGCTGGAAGGGACCTCAGAGGCAATGTAGTACAACTCCTTCATTTTACAGATAGAGAAACTGATCTAGCTCATGTCTCCACCTTGTCCACAAGAACTGCATTAGTTATGGTCAAATGTTTTGCTAAAATACAGATAAACTCTACTGCATTCCATTTTCCTATTAGTCTAATAAGTCTGCAAAAAAAGACAATGAGTTAGTCTAGCATGACCCAATTTTTAAAGAAACAGTCCCTTTTTTTGATCTTTATATCCCTACCACCTTAACAGACTCCCAGAATGGACTTAAACGCTAACTGACTGATTGATTCAAACACTGTCTCTTAATCTGTCCTGAGAGGAAAACTAGTATCATTCTAGTACTTTGCCTTAATGAATCTTATGTCAGCTGAACTAATTCCCAATGGTGCATAGGTTTACTTCATTCAGTTAAAGAGAAGGGACCTATTATTATGAATACTCCTAGCTATCCAATTTAGCACTCATATACAAACTTTCTTAAATTGGTCTCAAATTGTTTCTTGTACATAAATTTTGTTTTCATAACTAGATGGTGAGCTTCTAGTTCGAGTGGAACAATGCATCTCTATGTATCTCTACATATCATATGTATCTCTACAAAAATGTATCTCTAATCTCTCAAAAAATTATATGGCCAAACTATATACATAGGAAAAAAACAAGTAGACGAAAGCTACCTATTATCCTACGATATGCTATTGCATGTATATTCAATAAAGCTGGTCCATTATTACACACATTTTGGGTAGATGCCACAGATGGACACTAAATTAGACCCAAGTCTGATTAGGATGAAGAGAGGTACCAGATTGAATTTGGAAAATTGGACAATGCTCTTAATGTTCCTAAATGTCTCCCTGCAATAAAGTGCCATCTCTTTAGAGACAGGACCGGTTTTAAGTGTTTCCATGGTGTCCGCACAATGTCAAAAGAATTCAAGGAAAGCCCTCAGCATGTGTGTGGATCCCCTCTGTGGAGGCTTCACAGAGGGACAAGAATGATACAAGATAAGAAGGCCTGAGGGGCCACAATCTATACCTCCGACGGGAATATAAACATTAGTGAGCTCAAGGACCCAATAAAATTATTTCCTGTAGTACTGGGTACATAGTAGGAACTCAATTATTCATTCACTCCTTCAACAAATATTTGATTACAGAGCTCTGTCCTGAGCCCTCTTATCTTCTCCCTCTATGCTATTTTACTGGTAATCTCTTCAGTTCTCACAAATTTAATCACCACCTTTAGGGTGATCATTCTTATATCTACTGATTCAGCTCTAATCTCTCTACTGGTTTCCAGCCTCACACCTCCAACTTCCTATTGGACATCTCAGAACTAGATTCCCACAAACAGATCAACAGATCTAAATCTGAACTCATTTCCCCCCCTAAACCTTCTCCTATTCCTAATAGGTATCATCCTTGACTTCTCACTCTCTCTCATCCCCTGCAGCCAATCTGTTGCCAAGGCCTGTTGATGTTACCTCTCTCTTTTATGTCTCTTTTCTCTTTTTTGCACCACTCTGGTGCAGGCCCTCATCACTAAAGCCTATATTGTTATATCGCCTGTTGGTTGCTCTTTCCCCTTAAAACAAGTAGATGAATTCAGATGAAACTGAGTTATTGCCAAAGTGATCTTAAAGCCCAGCTCTGACCATGACACTGTTCCTACTCAATAAATTCCAGTGGTTCATTATCACTTCCAGGATCAAATATAAAATCCTGTTCGACATTCAAAGCCTTAATAAATTGGCCTCAACCTCCCCCCTTCCCCCCAAGTCTGTGTCTGGTCTCTTTGCCATTCTTCACACAAGACACAAAAATCTTCTGATTCCAGGTATTTTCACTTGGTGTCCCCAATGCCTAGAATTCTCTCAAATTTCAGCCAAAATCTCACCTTCTACAGGACAGCTTTCCCAATCCCCCTTAATTCTAGTGCTTTCCCTCTTTGATTATCTCCAATCCCATATATGTTACTATATTTGCATACTGTCTCTCCCATTAGACCATAAATTCCTGGAGGGCTGGGAATGTCTTTAGGCCTTTGGTGGCACAGTAGATACAGCACTGAGGCTGAAGTAGGAAACTCCAAATCAAATCTGGCCTCTGACACTTACTACCTGGGTGACCCCTGGCAAGTCACTTAAACCTGTTTGCCTCAGTTTCCTCATCAGTAAAATGGGAATAATAACAACACCTGAGCAAATGAGATAACTGTAAAATGCTTAGTCACAGCACCTGGCATATGGTATTACATAAATGTTATTATTATTATTATTATTGTCATTATCCCCAACACTTAACACAATGCCTGGAATGTAGCAGATGCTAAATAAATTGTTTACTGACTGTATAAAGCACGATGGGAGATGAAAAGCATAAGACAGGGTCCTCTTACTTCCACAAGTTTGCAATTTGGTAGAGGAGGTCGACATAGCTAAATATGCCAGCCATATAGTTACAGAACGATGGAGGCTAATCAGGAAAGGCTTCATTAAAGTAGAGATTTCAACTAGGCCTTGAAGAGTAATCAGGATTTTGGTGGAGAAAAGAGGAAGGGCATGAGCAAAAGTGGGAAGCTACAGGAGTTTATTGGGGAGATGGATGTAATCAGACTTGCATTTCAGGAAAATCACTTTAGTGGCTAAATGGAGGATGGACTGCAGTGGGGAGAAACTTGAGGCAGGCAGACCCACCAGCAGGGCATTACAATAATCCAGGAATAAGGAGGTGAGGGCCTGCACCAGCGTAGTGGCAGTATCAGAGGAGAGAAACAGGCATATTTGAAAGAAGTTGCAAAAGTGAAATTGACAGTGGTTTTCCAGCCTTTGTTAGAAGATCTCTAGTGAGAGCACTCATTATTTCCTAAGGTAACCCATTCCATTTTTGGATATGTTAACTGTAAAAGTTTTTTCTTACATTAAACCTAATTTTAGGCCTATTTACAACTTATATCCCCTGCTTTAGCAAAGTTGAACGACCCTTCCACATGACAATTATTTATTTATATTTCTCGTAGGATCATAGAGCAGAGGTTTCAGAGGCGAAGACCTTCATCTGACAAATGAGGAAACAGGTCCAGGGACATGTAGGGTCACACAAGTAATGAATAAATGGCAGAGCAGGATTCAAGCTCAGCTCCTCTAATTCCAAATCCAGGGCTCTTTCCACTGCACCCAGTAGAATTCTCTTCCATCCAACTACTGTCCTCCTAAATACTATGCAAAACTGAAACCACACATGATCTGACCGTTTTAAAATACAATCACCTCCCTCATTACGGACGCTATTAATGAGACTATATTAGCTACTTTAATTTTCTTGCTAACCATGATACACTTCCCTCAGCTTGAGTTTGGAGTCCACTAGAAGTCCCAAATCTTTTCTCAAACTGGTGTCCAGACATGCCTCTCCCCATTTCACATTTGTGAAACAGATTTTGTTTAAAGTCCAAGCGTAAGATTCTATACTCATCCCTACTGAGCATCACATTACATTCGGCCATCCTGACCAACATTCCCGCCCGTCCAGGCTGGGGAAGCCAGGGAAACCCAGGTCTTCTTGCACCTGGCGGCTGCAGGGATGAGGTGCCTCGGAGGTCCCCACTGGGCCCAGCGCCCTACGTGTCAACAGCTGCGCCCGGGAGTGGGGGCCAGGGGGCAGAGATCACCTTCACCTCCGGCGCCGGGTTCAACCCAGGGAACCTGGAAGCGAGAGACGCTGTGGAAGGGCGGGGAGAGGGGAGAAAAGAGCTGGGGGAACTCGGGGAGCGGGTGTGGCTCCCCAGGAATGCAACAAGGCCCAGGCGGGGCCGTCAGGGACGCAACGGGCCCAGGGGCGTCCCTGGCCCCGTTCGAACGCAAACAGTCCCTTACCGCAAACCGAGAATAACCTGCCGACGCCGCCATCTTCCCGCCTGCCAGCAGGCTCCTCCTACTGTGGACGGCCGCAATTCACCAGCCCCGCCCCAAGGCTCGTGCCCCGCCCCCAAGGGGGCGACCACCACCCCCTTGCCCCCTGGAGCCTGGGCCACCACCGAGCCTGCGGCGGGCTGAGGGCGGAGGGGGCAGTGGGGGACTGCGACAAACTGGGAAGCCAGAGATTTACCACCACCCCCCCTCGCGCGCGCGCGCGTGCCACCCTACGCACATCGAAAGGACAACAAACCTGGACAGGCGTCACAAATAACCAATCAAAGAAGAGGACATGGTCCGGGAGTGGTGGGAGGGAGAGAACCCGCCCTTTCCCCAAGATGACGCCACAAGGTGTCGGATTGAAAGCGAAAAGGACCAATAACAAAACAGGATAATTCCAAACGCAAGGAAGGGGCAGGGCTGGTTTGAAGAGGGAAATGGGGGCAAAGGAAACTTTTCCGGATATTATTTTGGGTCGGTGTCTTAAAATGACCATAAAAAATCCATAAACCGAACTGACGTAAAAGACCTCTGGGACACAAAATATCCCGATTGCCCCCTCTGCTCAAGTTCAGAGATGAGACTGACAATGGCTTGGGGGTAGTTCTTAGAGGGACGAACTTACCAAAGCAGGACCAATAACGAGGGAGTACAGAAGGCGCTCAAATTACTCGGCCCAATTGGAGTCAAGAAACACTGAGTCAGAAGAGCAGAAGGGAAAAATCTTTGGTGGGCATTTACCCGATTGGATCGGAGAGTCCTCCCCCAAACACCGGATTGGCCACTAGCAAGCAGAACGACACTGGCTTCAACGCAGGGAAAAGGTTTTTAAGTGAGTTTCGCGCGCGGAGGGCAGCGAGCTGCTATTGGTTAGTGACCTTCTTCCTTTGTGGGGGCTCTCTGCGTATCCGGGGTGAGGAGAGGGGAGTGGCGCCTGAGTGACGTGAAGGCGGCGACAGCCAATCCGAATGAGAGCAGAGAGAAGGAGAAGGAAGCGGATCTGTCGCCTCGCAGCTAATCTACACCTCGACTCTCCGTTTCGTCTCCCTCCGCCACCGCCGTCGGGGCCTAAGAGGGAGCGGCCGGGAACCGTTGCGGGGCCGGGAGGGCGGGTGGCGAAGCAAGGCGGAGGGAGACGGCTGTGGCGTTGGTATTTAGTCCGCGGTGGTGGAGGCGCTGTAGTTGGGTCCTGGCGCAGAGTCGTTGTGGGCACGGGGTGGGGGTTGAGGGGGGCAGCGTCGGGAGGAGCGCGCGGCCGGGCCCGGGTGCCCAGGCTGCCCCGGAGTCCCCCGCAGGGCCCCGCGTTGCAGCGGGCGACAGAGGAAGAGGAGGAGGAGGAGGAGGATGGCGGCCTCGGCCTTGTACGCCTGCACAAAGTGTACTCAGCGCTATCCCTTCGAGGAGCTCTCCCAGGGGCAGCAGCTCTGCAAGGTCCGTGTGCGCCGGGCGGGGTCTGGTCGGACGTGGCCCGGGGAGGGGGCTGGGTGTCCCGCGCTCCGCCTCCTTTCCGCTGTCGCCGGCGCCTCGGGGGTTGGAGTCTTGGGCTCGGAATTCCGAGTCTAGGACCTTTCTATCTGCGCGGGGCGGGGCGTGAGCGGAGACCCCCTCCCGCCTGGTGGCCTGGGATCCGGGCCGAGATCTCCGAGGGGGCTCCCGGGGTGGGGCCGACCCCCGAGGCTGCCAGCCACCTGTCTCCCGCAGGAGGTATTTTTGTCCCTGTTCCCTGCCCTTTCAGCTCTCCACTTGCCGGATTTAGGGATCACTTTTAAACCTCACGGGGGCACTGAATGGTGACCTCTCCTGCACGGAAAAGCAGAGCGACTTGTTGGGAATGGAACAGAGTGTTGGGCACATTCGGATCTTCCCAGATCCTACTAAAAGCAAACGTGGTCATTTGTGAGCAGCATTGCAAAATAGTAAAAGCATTTTCAGATGGTTCCAAACCTTGAAATTGACTCTACCAGGTTACCATCGTATTTAACCCTACCAGTAACATGTACAAATCTAATAAACACAGAGACCCACCTTTTTTCTTAAAGAATTACGGGTATATTTTACAGTTGGACAATTAGATGTTAGGACATAATCCAACTCTACTTACAGAGGCATTATACTCTTGTTTTGATATTATTTATAGAGGTTTGCTCTCCTTCCCCCTTTGGAGAAGAGACTTGAGACTATGCCAAACACTGATTGCTGTATTAATTTCTTGCAGGAATGTCGAATTGCACATCCTATTGTAAAATGTACTTATTGCAGATCAGAATTTCAACAGGAGAGGTTTGTATATAAATAATTAAAACCTTTAAGATCATAAAACTTTTCTCCAGGAAGCACTTTTACTAGCAGTAAACCCAATGTTGTAGTTATTTCTTATAAAATATTGATCTCAAATTAATTTGTAGTAGTTGCTGATAGGACCAAGAGTTAATGTTGAAAAACAATATTTACTATTTTTGAAAACAACTTTGAAGAAGTATATAGTTTGAGCTATTCTGGACCTATTATAATCAGCTGTGTTTTTTCATCTGTATGGTTTGTCAGTGACATAAAAGTTATATTTAAAGTTAATTATGGCATGTGAATTTTTCTTTTCAGCAAAACTAACACAATTTGCAAGAAGTGTGCGCAAAATGTGAAGCAGTTTGGAACAGTAAGTCTGTGCCTTACTTACTTTTTCACTTTGTCACTGAAGAATTACCTGACAAATGATATTTCTTACTAAAGGCGAAGCATTTATATAGAAAGTGTGTGTTAATTTCACGTACATATATAGTTTCAGCACACATACTTAAAATCATTACTTCATAAATTTAATTAAATATAGAATAAATGGATTGAGAAAATCAAGCCCTCTACTGTGAAACTAACAATTTCTTTCTTTGCCCATTTTAAATCTAGAGTTTGTGAAGCCACACTTACTGGGGGGAAAACATTTGAACAAATATAGTACTCTTATTTATACAGCACCTAGACGTTCAGAAAGTTGAAATCTGCCTGTCTTTCCGGCTCCTCAAATTATAGTATTTCATGAAAGAAATATGAAAGACTTGTTTCCAAAAGCCATTTTATGATATATCAATCAATACAAATTCTGTCTAATCTCATATACTTAGATCCTGCAAATACATGATTGTCAGACTGCTTGAATACTGATAGCTCAGTACCAGAATAATTTTCTCCCTAATAGATGTTCTCAGAGGATAAGATACAAGGGAACCAACTAGTTTATAAAGTTCAAATTCTGTTTGTGAAGTTTGTGAAGCCACACTTACTGGGGGAAAAACATTTGAACAAATATAGTACTCTTATTTATACAGCACCTAGACGTTCAGAAAGTTGAAATCTGCCTGTCTTTCCGGCTCCTCAAATTATAGTATTTCATGAAAGAAATATGAAAGACTTGTTTCCAAAAGCCATTTTATGATATATCAATCAATACAAATTCTGTCTAATCTCATATACTTAGATCCACAATGGTATAGTACAGTATAGTGCTACAAAATTCTGAAATGTCTTGTCAAAAGAAAGATGAAATTATGTTTGATGTGGTTTGTGTGCACTGTACAAATTTTTTCAAAACTGGGGTATGTGATAAGTCTTGAATTAATATGACTCCTTATTTAGTGTGACTGAGAAATTGGGAGTATGCATTTATAACGTTTATTTCATTTTTTTACATACTTAGTATTTTTTTTAAAAAACCACAATTGTTACTACTAGATTCATATCATTTCAGTTTTCCCAAAGTGAAACAGTGAACTCAAAAGTCCCAAAAGAAAACAAAATAATGTCCTGGAGTTGTGGTCAAGTTTGAGTAGATAACTTTTGAATGCTTTTCCCAAATGTAAAAAAGTATTTGATTTTTCTTTTACACTGCAGTATTACAAGGATTTCCAACATTATAATGCTTAAATTAAAGAGAGTTGTTTCTCTGTCAATTGCAGCCCAAGCCTTGTCAGTACTGTAATATTATTGCAGCGTTCATTGGCACAAAGTGTCAGCGTTGCACAAATTCGGAAAAGAAGTATGGACCACCTCAAACCTGTGAACAGTGCAAACAGCAATGTGCTTTTGATCGGAAAGAGGAAGGAAGAAGAAAGGTAATTATTGTTTGTTCATGGTACTGTGACATCCGGAAATACAGTCATATCACTGATTTGAACTGAAGGTGGAATCGATAACATTTGTGTATTTCTGGGTGGCTGGTTCCATTTGCAGCCCCATGAGGCGTTGTCAAGACAGCATTGAACCCAGGAGTCAAGACTTGTGTTTAGTGACTTGTATAGTTGCAGTACTTTTGAGCGATTTCTTAGTTTAAATGTTTGTAGATCCTAGGTTTTTACTTAGTGGTAAAAAACATTTCATCTTAAATCTGCTTTGGATTTTACACAGATTTGTAAATGGATCTCTTTTCGTTCCTTCAGTCAAAGTTGAAGATTTTGCTATTGTAGAAAATATATATTAATTTATTAGCCAGTGTACAATATGCATGGAAATAAATATCAGTAGTGGCGTGACAGGTACCTTCTGCTGCTATTTCTAGAAATGGAACAGGAATTTGAACTTTTAGGAACAGAAGGAAGAATAATTTGCCCTTAATGGATTATGTATTCATAAGTTCTCATTTCAAATCAATTCCACAAACATCAGGTTCTGATTATGGCACAAAAACCTCATCAAAAACTAAGCTGAAATGCAATGCTGAAATCTCTCTGAAGTTGCGTTACTTTAAAATAAAAAAAAGTTGCCTATTTTAGGAATTCTACATAAGGTTTTGTTTTCCAAGTTTGAGAATAATTTTACTTAACATCTTTGAAAGGCTTCCCTGAGTTTTAGGTAATTTCTTAACAGGTTTCATTTATAATTAGTTTAAGGACCCATTTGATCTAATGTGCATGTTCTTCTGAAAGGTTGATGGAAAATTACTATGCTGGCTTTGCACCCTGTCATATAAAAGAGTTTTGCAGAAGACAAAGGAACAAAGGAAGAGCCTGGGTTCTTCACATTCTAATTCATCCTCTTCATCACTTACTGAGAAAGACCAGCATCATTCAAAACACCATCACCACCATCATCATCACCACCATCGTCACAGCAGTAGTCACCACAAGTAAGTACTTAGAATTTCAGTATCTAGTTATGTAATTCAAGAATTCCCTCATCACTTATAAGAAAATATGTGGGCAATGATGTAATTTAATCTCATTATTTCTTGTCTGTTTGGTATTTGCCCTGGACCCTTCCTTTCTATGTTGTAAACTCTTTAAAGGGTATAGACAGTATCCTTGTCTCCCTCGTCCCACCATCACTACCACCTTCTAACTTAGTAGATTTGTATTCAGATCTTTTTTTTTTTACACTAACTTGTGATGTTAATGATGTGGCTGAGAATAATTTTTTTAGCTAATTCTCAAATCACAGATTGAGGAGAGGACAGTAAATACAGAAAAGTAGTATTGTAAGAAAAATACGTTAACGTGATCAGTTCGTAGACTTGCCTGTCAGAAGCTTCAGTATTTTATTATTTAATATCCATTACTCTGGACTGTTAGTACTAGGATCATTCTCATAAAAACACAGCATATGAAAAGTAAATATCAAAAAACATTGGAGAGGGTGAAAAGTTGCATTTTAAAGAGACTGAAGCAAGGTCTTTCCATAAATAAAAACCATGAACGTTTCTGTAAGCTTTTGTGTTCTGGTTAATTCTTATTTTCTCATTTCTGTAGGTGTTGACTGGTAAGTATACAGTCAACTGAGAAACATTTATAACTGAAATATTTGTGAATGCAATGGTAGTATTTACGAATAAACTTTGAAGGACATTAAACTATAGGGAAAAATCACATTATTACCTAATAGTAGCATTTTGCTATTTTAAAAACATACTTGTATGAACTTTATATCCAAATAAGGGAAATATTTCCATCTTTCAGTTGCACTTTTTAAAATTGGGAAAACATGCCAACAATATTGTATCTTTTTAAAAACTATTTTTCTACTTCGAGGCTTTTTGAGAAAGTAAAATTATCCAGTCTTTTGTACATTGTATAAGAAAACAGCATATTAAAAAAATCTAAATGTTGAAAGACTAGGGAATGAAAATTTACACTCTGAAGATTCTTTGAATTTCAAAATTTACTGTGAGCTTTCTTCAGATGGCAAGTTTTCCTAGGGCATTGAAGACATAATTTGATTTACCCCACCTCCCACCCCCAAAGATATTAGGAGAACATATAATGGTAAAAATATATCTGTATATAGTATTTACTAAAAATAGGGCCTAATGGGTAGAAAAAAATTAGGACTTGAAGTAGATACTTTGTAAAGTCCAGTTTAAGTCCGTTTGTTTCATATTTCTATTTAGTTAAAAGTTGTGGTTTAAAGATTAGAAAGGAGGCATTTTATTAATAACAGTAGAGCATCCTAAATCAGTATGAGATGAATTAAAAGATTGAGACCTAAAATTACAACATTCCCACTTGCCTTAAATTCTCTTGCTATGACTTAAGTTTTCAATATGAGGCAAGGGGACCTAAATTTACTAATGATTTCAAATATGGTTGTTCTTTGGAAATCCTTCCCCTAGCCTTTTGCAACAGATTTAGGGGGCAAAGGATGAAAGTCTTATGTAGTTTTTACCTTTTCTGGGTGGTGGCAGATTATAAACTGCAAATACATGATTGTCAGACTGCTTGAATACTGATAGCTCAGTACCAGAATAATTTTCTCCCTAATAGATGTTCTCAGAGGATAAGATACAAGGGAACCAACTAGTTTATAAAGTTCAAATTCTGTGAGACTTATCAATTTTTTTCTGTGACAGAATGATAGGTCTTGTAGGTTAACACACGGAAGTTGATGTTCATAAAATTTAATTTCATTGAGGTTTTTGATTTTGTCCCCCAAGAAATTCTCATCATTAAACTGGAAAAAATATGATCTAGACCTCCCAACTATTAGGTGAGTACACAACTGACTATAGGGTCCTGTCTTTAGAGTAATTAAAACAGTAGATCACCAGAAGGTGCATGCTAAGTAAGTTCAAGGCAAAGACCAAGTTGGATCCCAGATTCACCATAATCTAGTAAGATCATAATTCCCAGAGTATATAGAGAAAAACTTTTTTCCTTGTTTTTAAAGATAATGTGACTAGTGTTACTTGTCTGTATCTTGAGTGTGGCCAGAGAAAACTGAAACAATTATTGCCATGCTGAATCAAGTAAAGATTCTTTTGGTTTGATGTTATAACCAGTTTGTAGAACTATACACAGTGTGTCTTTAAACCTATGGCTTGCTCTTCACATTTGCTCAAAGAGACCCACCTAATTTCTGATTGCTGCCTTCCAGGTTGGTCTGTATGCCACTCTCTTTTCCCAGCAGTTCAGTAAGGACACTTGCAGAATAGTGTACTTGAAGAAAAACTAAAGTATATGAATGCAAGATTGTGAAGGACTAGATATGTGTAAGTACAGCAGAAAAAAAGTCCAAAGGTCATAATGAATAATAAGCTAACTGAGTTAGCAGTGTATCATAGTGGTTTAAGAAGTAAGAATACTATGATATATAAACGATATTATAAATTAGAATTGTGAACTCTTTCACTATCCCAATTGTGGTCTTAATCTTTACTAGATGATTATATCTAGTTTACCTTACTAACAGAAGATGTATAGAGAATTGGGAGAATGGTTTAGGAAAGTATGGAAAAGTTAGAGGAATTAGAGAAACCAAAATAGTTTGTCTGGAAAAAAATTTTTTGCTTTCAAGGATGAATGATGCTTTCTAAACTCCATAGGACAAAAGGATAATAATATAAAATACAGCAAAAGCAGTTTATAGTAAAGAAGAATTTCATCAGGTTCAGAATTTTTACTGAGGCATGCCTTAATCTTTAAAATAGGATAAAAATCTCAACTGACTGAGATGGTTAAGTCTTAACCATAGTCTTAAATTGGTGACTTTCAAACTGTGAAGTTATAGTACCTGTCTAGTGATTTTCATATTCTTAAAAAGCCCCATATATTAGTTTGGTCTGGAGATGATGGAACAAATACAAATTATAAAGACCTCTCCATTGCTCTCCGTTGCTGTGCTTTTTTTTCCTAGGAACCCATAAAGATGCCTGGTGGAGTTGTTTGACCAAATTATTTTTCGTGGATTCTTTCATAAATTAACAAGCTCTTAGTCTGAAAATGGTATAGACAAATTCAGGATCACAGTTGGCTTTATTACAGTTTTCATTCTCATAACTTAAATGAATTTCCTTTGCTGACAAAAACGTGCTTATAAAAGTTTGATTTTGTTTTCCATTAGTAACAAATATCATTAGATATTATTAATAGATATTATTAGTTGTTAATTGTGTGTGTTTCAGAATCAGCAGTCTGAGTCCAGAACAAGAGCAAGGACTGTGGAAACAGAGGTAAATGTTTACCATTTCTGAACTATTTGAATATAGTATTTTGAATGTGTTTTTAAGTGGAACACTTATCTAAACCATCTAGTTGTACCTATTCATTTTCAAAATGAAAGGAAACTGGGGTACCTTGAGATACCCCAGATAGCTAGTTAGAGACAAAATAGGATTTAAAATCCTATGAACTCCTCATTTTCAGGTCTGTGTTTTTATGTCCTTTGTCTCTCCCCATTCCCTGCCGTTTGCCGCTTCTATAGGAGTTTGACTTTTTAAAATTATAAAGTGGCTCCATTCAGGGGTCCGCTCAAATCCTATACTTTCTGCAGGAGACTTTTCCCAGACTTATTTCCCTCTCTGCTCTCAGAATAATTTTTTTCCCCCATTGTCTCCCCATTTGAATGAGTTCCTGGGGACAGACTGGGAACCATGTTTTTGCCTTGTAAACCCAGCACTTTGCACAGTGCCTGGCACATGGTAAACACTTAAAAAATAATTATTGATTATTAATTATATTTACTTGTAAAATTGCCTGTTAGTACTTCTGTAGCTATTACTTTGTGCTTACATTTCCTATTTGGTTTCAGCCATAAAACCTCTGCAACAATACAGAATGAAACTCCAAAGAAAAAACCCAAACTGGAATCCAAGCCATCCAATGGAGATAGGTAAAATTGGATTTCTTTAGTGCTATGAAATTTCAGCCCAAGAGAACAATGGTGGTTGATAGTTGCAACTATTTAATAAAGGAAAATAAATTGATATCTTCCTATGTTAAGATCTCTGTATCATATAGGACAGTGACCATAATAAATTGGATGATTTCTAATGAAAATTTAACAGTAAGAAAATGGCAGTGTTCCTATTGCTTTGTTTAGACAAAAAGTCTTTTTTTGAGTATAAATAATTTGGAAAAGGCCACATACTTTCAAAGAACATTTTCTAAACTTTGGTACCCTTCAGAGAAATGCAAGTTGGGACTCAATAAGTATTTTTTAAGCTTTTAAGTTTTGTTAGAATAGCGTTATCATATAGTACATTAGGCAAACATTTACTGATATTACTGTACAAATTGGCTGCCTATTGCTTTACACTAGAAATATTGACCCCCTAAAAGCTAATACTGAATTATATTTCTGCAGGTATTTGTAATGTGTGCCATTAGTAAGGTAATTTGCCAGTTGCATCCATTTCTGTCAGGTACATATTTTTTTGCATTAGCCTTAAGGATGTTTGTGGAATTGTCTAATTTATGCATTTTGAACACATGCTGTTTTTCTTGGACTTATGTTAATTTTATTTTACTTCTTATTTTTAGTAGCTCTATAAATCAGTCAGCAGATAGTGGAGGAACTGACAATTTTGTCCTTATAAGCCAGCTGAAAGAAGAAGTGATGTCACTTAAACGTCTCTTACAGCAAAGAGACCAAACCATTTTAGAAAAAGATAAAAAGGTGAGAACACAGACTGTTAAATCTCATGAACTGTTGTTATCTTAACTCTTATTTGACAGTTGCAAATCTAAAACTAGACATAGTTTGACAGTGTTTATAATATTGTTTGCTGGCCATTGTACGTTGTTCTGTACTAGTGGAGAGGCTTGAAGTCCTAAGGAACTAACCAGTTAGAATTTTAATGATTTTTGAATGCACACTTTCAACACACATACTCTACATATATTTTAAATTTCTCATTTTGGTTTAATGAATGAACTTCATTCTGTGGGTGGAGAAAGATAATTATGTGAATGTTAGTGATTTAGACAAGCAGTTTAGAGCTTTTAGTTTTCAATTCATGTTTCTTAATCTGGCCAATGAGAGTTAATAGTACAAGTCATCCTTTTGGGATTTTTCTATATAATAGCCAACATATAGCAAATTATGGGTTGTAGATTCAAGTTGTTCTGCTATAAGTAAATATATATGAATATGTTACTTAGAAGTGAAATCAGAATAGTTTGGGGGGGGGCAGTCGGGGTTTAAGCCCAGCAACACACAGCTAGTGAGTATCATGTGTCTGAGGCTGGATTTGAACTCAGGTCCTCCTGACTTCAGGGCCAGTTCTCTATCTACTACACTACCCACCTGCCCCAAGAATAATATCTTAAGGGTGGCCTCAATTCTCTTTTAATTCGTGTGTTGTATGCTTTAATCATAGTTAGATGAATTAACTCCTTTAAAATTTGCATTGAATTTGAACCTATTTCTGTTTTCTACTACTGTGTTTCAAAAAGTATATTTATTTAGTTTAGCATATAATTGTGTTTATGTGAGTTATTCTTCTTGAGTTTATCTAGAACAGATCTTAAGCTTACTGTTATATTTCTTTGTAATCCCAAAGAGTCTTCATTATTAGATGTGGCCTAAAAGGGTTTTAATTTTAGGGTTTTTTTATTAGTTTTTTTTAATTTAGTTTAGTTATTTTTATTACTTTTAATATGGGTAGCTTGCACATTTAGTATATAAAAATTCATGTGTAAGCAAAAATAAATATAGGATATTACTGGTTATTTGATTGCCAATTTCGAATTATTTTTCATTATTCAGTTACGTCCAACCCTTTGTGACCCCATTTGGAGTTTTCTTGGCAAAGATAGTGGAGTGGTTTGCTGTTTCCTTTTCCAGCTCATTTTACAGATGAGGAAACTGAAGGAAATAGGGTTAAGTGACTTGGCCAGGGTCGCACAGCTAGTAAACGTCGAAGGTCACATTTGAACTCAGGTCTTCCAGACTCCAGGCCCAGCTCTGTCCACTGAGCCACCCAGCTGCCCTTATGAAAATTCATATATAAGCAAAACTAAAGAGTAAGATGGTTATTGTTTATTTGATAGCCAATTTTAAACAACTTTTCATTTCATAGAGATTAGCTGTATATTTTAAAATTAGGAAATCCTTTATTTTTTTGATTGAAAACAGGGCAGCACTTGTTTGTTATAAGTCCAGTTAGAATGTGAATTAAGAGGTATCCATTTGAAGAAATATGTAATTCCAAAGAAAAATGGCAGTGAATTTTTAATTCCTGTTTTGCATTTTTACACCATTATAACATCACATCAGTGCAGATAATTTAGTTGATTTTGATTTTAGGTTTTTTTTCCATAATTTATCAAGGTGTTTGGCATTTTACAAGTTATCAGTACTAAAAATATGTTTTCAAAAGAAGCATATATATCAGTTATGACTCACCAAAAACATATGTGGAAGCATCCAATTCAGCGGCTAGCTATTCATTACTATGAGTAGATTAACAAATCTTGGTGAGGTGGTTTGACTAATAGATCAGAAGTCTTTTATATATATATGTATATATATATATATATTATACACACACACACACACACACATATAGATGAAGACAATTTATATACTATTTGAATCTACAACAGAGGCAAGGATTTTAACTAGGTAGAATGTAGAACACTGTAATTCTCTTTGTCAGTTTCTCTATTAATTTTCATCATCAGTTTATCAGTTTTGGGGTAATTAAATGATTGTGCTGCATTTTATAGCTTAAAGGATTGGATTTTAAAGATTGCTAAAGATATACTTACACATTAGAGTGTGCTTAATTTTCTGTGAATGAAAATTCCATTGTTATGATAGTATTATAATTGAAACATCACCTACAGCTAGCTTTCTTCAAGCTTGTACGTGTTTAATATTATCCTAAATCTCTCTTTTTATATATTTGTGTGTGTGTGAATATTTACATGTAGATATTTGTGGCTTTTTTTAGTTTGATTATGCTACTAAGTGACTGTTGAAAAAAAGTTTTGAAATTTGCTGCTTCCCTTTCTTGATCCATATGCTTATTATTAGTACTGCTTCTGTGCTCTATTTTTGACCTCTAGTTCAAGCAGGAATATCAAATAGTGATGTGCAGGTTTTACAATGGAATTTTTCAGATTATTGGGAAAACAGGCTTTAATTATAATGTTCTTTTTTGTGCCTAATGTAAAACTTTAGAGGGGTTTTTTTGGGGGGGGTAGTTCCTTTTTTTTTCTTTTAAAATGAGAGGAAAGAAAATCTTAAGTCATTATTTTAGTATATTTGAAAAAATTGCCTTAAGCTTGTTAGAATTTTTTCCCAGTTTATGCTTTTAGCTCAGTCTGTTTATTTAGGTTTACAGTTGTTATTTTCAAGCAAAATCTGTTATGGAAGCTACTGGCCTTATAAAATACATCATTATTATTATTATTTTAATCTTGGAAGTATTTCCCAGTATTTGACACAAGTGAAGTAACTGTGTAAGCTGTCCAGCTTGTAAAAAAGGCCAAGTGGGTGCTGTCAGACTTATATATCCATATAAGGCCCTTGAAAAACTGATGTTTTAATTCTAAACCTTACACGTTATTCAGTTGCTGCCTTGAAACTGAATTCCAAACTAATGTACTATCTAATAACACTAAAATTGATTAGGAAGACTATGGATTTGTGATCTGACAAAACAGTGTTTGGAAAAAGTAGAACTAGATCATGGAACTCATAAAATTGCTGTTAATGTGCACTATTTTGGGCATACAGTTGTGAATGATGCTGTAGAGAAACTGTAAATACAATTCATATATATTGATGTGTTTTTAAGTTAACTGAACTGAAGGCAGACTTCCAATACCAGGAATCTAATTTGAGAACAAAAATGAACAGTATGGAGAAAGCTCACAAGGAAACTGTGGAACAACTACAGGTAAATATTTTATTCGTTTTGGTTTTACTTAAACTGTGAGTTGCAGAGAGGAAAAAGTTCAAATTGTCATATTTATTGAGTATATCTTTTGTAAGTATTTGTCTAGGCACACATGTATGTCCCTCTCTTTTCTCTTCCCCCACCCCCAATTCTTTCTCTCTTTTCTTTCTTTGTTGTTTTCCCCTACTACACAGCCATAAGAGTGAGCCATGTTTGTTGTAGGTAAAGAGCATGGAGGACAGGGGAGAAAGGTGTCGCAACTCCAGGATCCATTCCATGATGTGTTGCTTTATAAAGCAGGTTGCCTAGAGAGAAAACTAAACCCCAGAGTTCATGCCAGAATGGTCCAAGTAAGATTTCAGTACAGAAGAAAACAAGTGATAAATAATTTATTAATAGGTCCTTATTCCAGGTCTTCCTCCTCTAGCTGTCTTTACCCTCTGGGCAGGTCTTTCGATCTAAAACTAAATACCTTCTGTCTGTCCTGAAGAAGCTCCCCCATCCAGATTTGTTAATGATGTTTTTTTCGTATTTTTTTTTTTTGCAATTAATACATTTGGAGAGAGAAGTGTGTTGGTAATAGTCGATAAAGTATTGTTTGTTTTTATAAAAACCTTAGTGATTCTATTTTTTATCACTGAGGTTTGAATGTTGAGTTCTTATCTGGGTTCTAAATATTTTGCAAGGTAGTCCATAATTAAACCTAATATAAATAAAAATGAGTGAAATCCAGACTAAGATAGCTTGTAGCTCATGGTAACCTTACTTGAATTGAGCTGTTTCTTGCTCAATCTCTTGTAAAAATTGTGAGAGGTTATTTATTTGTTTTAAGTTAGGGTCTGAATGTATTGTACACTTCTTTCTCCTGGAGAACCCTGAAAGTTCCAATAGCCTATTGTCCTATTTTCTTAGTTGCTAACTGCCATGTGTTGCATCCTTATAGCCAAACTTCTTTGCTAGAATTCCTGACTACCTCTTTAAGGTTAAACTAACACTATCAATGAAATGGTTTTTCTTAAAAGTATTTCCTACCTTCTAGTGTTTTGTGTCTGGACTTTCTAATGAAGTTTAAAAGAAGTTTTAAATAAGCTAATGTCGCAGAATAAGCTAGCAAGGAATTTAAATAGTAAGAAATTTAAGTTTGTTGATGACTAGAAGTTATTTTTCAGTCGTAAAATTGTTTTCTTCTCCCCCGTTTTCCATGCACCCCTCATACACAAAGAGAAGATACATAGAACCATTTGGGATTTAAATTTGGCAAAGTTTAAATTGACAAGATCTCAACCCTTATTGCTTGTCACCACTGAGAAGTAAGAAAAGGAATATCAAAATATTGAAAGACAGAGTTTTGAAGTATTGCAAGGAGTACCAGAAGTGATAAGATTTTGAAAGTAGTAAATGGTTCCCTATTAGTCATAGAAGATTTCTTGTAGGAAATAAACATAGTTTCCTAAAAGATAAACTGGGTTGTTGAGGTATAGTAAATATTTTATGAAATAGCTTTAAGATGATAGAAGGATGAATATACTTGAAGAGAAAAAGAAAAAAATGTCACTTTGTGAGAACAAGATGAGGCCATTTAAATTGGGTCACATCAGATAAGGATGAGGGTTGAAGCCAATAAACAGGATCAGTTTATTGATTAGGATATGGCTTTTGGCTTTAAAGTTTCCAGCATCCAAAAAATTATACCAAGTAGTACCTTTTGTTTGGATCTAATCTTCATAGCCATGTTTTGAAAACATGTAGTATATTAAAAGAGTATTATCATAGAGAATTGGAAAACCCCTTAGGGTAATTCTTTATTCAGAATCTATTTCCTCATATGTAAAATTGGGATAAAACAGTTCTTACCGTGGCTACCACACAGAATTCTTGTTTGGATCAAATGAAATGATATATATGAATGGCCTTGGTAAATCATAAAGCATAATATGGAGTAAAATAGTATATATTATCAAGAATAACATTTGTAAAGAGTGTGGTAAAACAGTCTACATTTCCCTAGTACAATCCATTCTTAAGGTTAGTGAGCCATGAGTTTCTATATTTTCAACTTTTATCATCCATTCATTTAAATTTGTTAGTTTATACTCTTAATGGAACCTTTTGTTAAGTAAATTGCAATAATGCTATTGTTTATATAGTGTGAATGGAATTATCCTGTTTAAAATTTTTTTTATTACGAAAGCTTTATTTTTAATCACAAGTGTTTTTTGTCTACTACAGGCCAAAAATAGAGAACTACTCAAACAGGTTGCAGCATTGTCGAAGGGTAAAAAGTTTGATAAAAGTGGAAGTATATTAACATCTCCTTGAGAAAATAATTATTCATAGTGTTCTGCTTAAAATGTAAATTTGAATAATTCTGTGAAGCCCTTAAAATTCTGTGTAGTAGAAAACATATTTTTGCACACTAAATGAGTTGGTGTGTTTCCTATTCACTTTTGTAACTAATGCAGCATTTTTTTAAGTTGTCAAAGTATTCAAATAAAATACTTCAACTGGCTTGAAGAACCTTTTTAATTTTTTGATATCCGAGAACTTTTTTTTGCCAGCAATAGTATTAAAACAGTTGTAAAAGGACAGAAAACAATGCTCTTTTTAAAAATGCAACATGCAATAATAGAATAGATGTCATTTTTAAGATCTAAAAGCAATGATTTCTTTGACACTGCTAACTTCAGATGATCCATTTTCAAGTTTAAAAGTATGTAACTTTTGGAATAAGGAATATAATGAACACTTAAGTTTTTAGCAACTGTGTTCTTTTACTTTATTAAAACATGATAAACTAAGGAGGGAAATCATGGTGCTTTTATTAAATGAAATTCAGAAATATATGTAAATATGTTTTAATAGTTGCATCATTAGTAGTAGTCAACGAGTACCCTAGTATTTTCATTATTGTGATAGGATTTAACGTTATTGTACAGTATCCAAGGTAAAATATGTGTTTTTGTTTTGTAAAGACTACTGTAGATTTTTACTTACAAGTGCCTTTTTGCCACCTAATGTTTTTATTTATAGGAATGCTGGTTTTTTGTACATAAGGTTTTGTTTTTAAGATCATGTTTATTAATAAATGTTTGTATATAAATGCATATGTACAGGAGACATTAAAAAGGAAATGTAAACTGCTAGTGAGATGTTTGAGGTTGTATTAAGAACTAGCAGACAAGTAGCGCATATAAGTTTTTTAGGTCTTTGTAATTTGTGTCTGTAGGATAGGGAATGGTACTGGTCCTAATATTTTGTCAATCATTACCCAAAAGATTTCATTTTAAATCTCTTGACAATATTATATTTTAATTCTGCCACAATGAATCTTAGTATTTGTGTGCAGAAATATGCATGTATAGCTATGTACATAGTTCTACGTATTTCTTCTTGGTTGAATATTAATATTTTCAAAACATCTTTATTACTACTTTCCCTACTTTTATCTGATTAATAGAGTCAATATCAAAGGTCATTGCTGCATAATTGGATAAATTCTGAAGTTTTCTAAATTTTGCTTTAAATTTCCTTTGTAGCTATTGGTTATTTTTCTTTAAATGAATTGGAGCTACAAGTAGATTAGAGTGGTGTTTACAAAGCAAACTGTCCCAACGTCTTAAATCATTATTCTTAAAAGGATAGTATAGGATGATGTATGTGTGATATTAGTGTAAAATATATATAGGGCCTTTTTTAAAAAAAGTGATTTTGAGCCTTGAATGGAATTGGTCTGCTTTAAAAATGTATTTCATCAGCCTTTTACTTAATAAGTATAAAAAATAATCAAGTACTATATTAAGTTCACTATTTACATAGAATGAAATCAGTAGTTCTTGCTGCAACATCTTATAGGTTAAACTAACTCAACTATGCCCTGGGCAAACTACTTCTGCCCACCCCATTTTCATTATTGGACATATCATTGTAAAAGTTTTTCATGTTTTAAAATACAATCTAAACCAACATTTGGATTGCCCTTGGAAAGGATGGTTTTCTCATACAGTTTTGGGTGGTGCTATTCTTTTTGAAATGGCCTGTGTTTCAGTAGCTTATTTCTACAGGTGTTCAGTATAGAATCACATTCTCATTTTTTGATGCCCTGTTTAGAAGTACAAAGTTAGGGTAGTTTTCAAGTAAAAACATAGCCTGAATATTTCTAACTTGGGGAAAAAAAGCATCAATTTATTTCCATCAAGTGTATGTTTGTGTGTGGGGTGTGTGTGTGTGTGTATACACACACACACACATACATATATATAGTTACACTAAGTTAATAGTCTTCATAGGTTTAATAAACATAGTGTGCTTTTAACCTAGTATTTTTTTGCCCTAGTTGTACTATACTGTAGTGCGTTTTAATGCTGAAGAGATTTACTAAATCAGAAAGACCTTTATTTTCATTTAAAATCTTTCATAACTGGTATTTTTCCAATTTCATAGATAATTTCTCAATCTCAAGTGGTCATTATTGTTTTTAGGCAAACCATATCCATTTTTAGTAACATTCATATTCAGACTTGTGAAAGTTGCTGCAATTTTAAATTATTTTTATTTTTGTTTTAAGGAACACCTTGAAATTCAGTTGAAATATGTCAGCTTTGTAAATCCCAATGCTAAAACCTTTTAGGGGCTTCACATAATTTAAATATACCCTTTTAATTTTTATTCCATGTCCTCATGAGTTTTAAAACTTAAATTTTTAAGGTTGTTAACAAGTACATTGAGTTCTGGACCATCATGTCCTGGATCTGTAGTATATCGACAAAATGGCCTGATGTTCTTTAACTGTGGATCTGTAAGGAGATATTATTGTATGCTGTATTGTGCTTTCTAGCTTGTTTTCAGCTGTTCATTAACATTGACAAGTGATAGCCACTTTGGCGCAAGTTATTTATGTACTTTAAGCTTGTTAATATTGCAGTCCTTTTTAGATAGTATTGGTCTAAATATGCATTTTGCAGTAAAGCTGTTGAGCTGTTCACATGTATAGACTATTGAAATACTGTACTTGCACACATCTGACTGTTGACATTTTGTACTTTTTTCTAAATCCAATATTTCACAATAAAAACTTTCAAAAGCATTATATTCTTTATCTTTTTATTTTCCCTTTCCCCCAAATAATAAATTGAAGACTAAAAATTCAGTTCTGATTCTAAAATCCTTCATTGTAATATTCATGCTATATTCATATATCCTTTTGGACTTAATTTTTTCTGTATTTTTATGTTTTTAAAAATTTGTATTAACATCTTTTGTTCTTGTATTAACTTTTCCAAATATATCTGCTGCCTCCTCAGCTCAGTGATACATAGTGAGGCATCCCTTATAGCCCCCCCAAAAAAGGCAGTTTAACAAAACTAACCAACATACCAAGTCTGATTTAATATGGGCTGCCTCCCATCTATGTGAAGAATGGAACATCCTGGGTCATCGTAATTGTTCAGTTTTGATTTGTATTTTGTTTTTATCTACTTACATTTATTTATGTTGTTTTTCTCTATTCACTTTACATCGGTCCATATGTGTTCCTATAATTGGGGTTTTTTTCCACATTTGTTGTTTCATAGAGTAAGATTCATTTACATTTGTGTGCCATAATTTTTATCCATTCCCAATCTATGTGCATCTTGGTGTATATCAAGACTTTACCCCCTGGGGATTTTGCTTACTAGTGGCGTCTGTGGTTCAGCCCAACATTGACAGCTTCCCTTTTTATACATGAATCTTAAAGAAATTTGGATTAAAAGAGGAAAAAAAATCTTTATTTCAGTATTATTGGTTTCTTTGTATATTTAAAAATATTTTGAGAAGTAGTCTACAGGTTTCACTAGAGAGACACAGAGGTCCATGATACAAATAAAGATTAAGAACTTTTGGTCCAGAGGTAACATTGAGAAGAGATAATGGATTGAACTAAGACTTCCGGTAGGAATGGAAAGGAGGAATTTTATATGAAATGTTGAGGTAGAATCAACAGGACTAAGCCACGGATTGGATAAGGGTAGAAAGGGAAGGGTTCGAGATAGAGAGTGAATTTGATTGATGAGAGAATGCTGTAATCAGAATATAGACAGGTTTGGGAGTAGTGGAGTGAGAATGAGATCAGTTTGGAACTGTGTTAGTTTGGGGTGCTCACAAGACATTCAGGTGGAAATAACTCAGCAGGCATGTGAAAGTGGACTAGAGATTATGGATTCATTTGGGAGTCATCGGAATGAATATGATGATTGAAATCATGGGAATGATTAAGATCACTAAGGGGAGAAGGTAAGATGGGGAGGCCAAAAAAATATGAGAAGACACCAATATTTAAAAAGCAGGAAGAGGATTAGGAACCAGCCAAATAGAATGTTTGAGGGTGAGGGCATTACTGAAGGTAGAGGACGTATTTTGGAAGCCAGATAGGTTTCAAGAAACAAAGTCCAATGATGCTCAATAATGTAAAACATTCCAGAGTTGTCAGTATGGGTAAAGCCTGGGAAGAAAGGTTGTTGGTTTTAGTGGTAAGGGAATCATCTAGAACTGTTAAGAAAGCAGTTTCACAGGAGTGGTGGGGTCAGCCAAAATGCAAGATTTTAGAGTGGGTAAGTTCCTCTCCATTCTTCATATTTGGCCCCTTCAACTCCTTGTGGGTGACAGAGAAACTGCATCCCATCTTGCCTCCCTCCATGCCTATTCAATTATTAGGCCTGTTCCTGCCTGCCTTGGAGAAAAATTTCATTCCGTCTGTGGTGACCCACCACCCCCTACACTAATCCCCTTCATCTGAACTGCCTAATCCTGAAAGGTTTCCACCCTGAGGCCAAACTCCTAGGGATATTGATGACTTAACAGAGCATCCTTAAAAATCAATAAAGGCCCACTCTCTCACACCTTCCCCATCACTGTGATTAGGAATTCACAGCTATCATTCAAAATCAGTTTTCCATCATCTCTTGTTGCCCTCTCCCTTGTTCCCATCTCAACACCACCAACATCCTACTCTACAGTCCACCCCTTCCACTGTTTTCTGAAATGTCTGATCCATGAGTAACAAATTTGCTTTCATCTTATGTCTTTTACTTTTCCACTCCTTCCATCTTACAACTCTCAAATGAGACCTGCCTCCTTTGAGGTTCGTTCTGTCACCGAATCAAAATTCTGTTAACTTTTCTATTGACCTCCGGAATGTCACCCTTCTTCCTTCATTGAGGGTAGTACTTGTCTTCATCTTCTGCAAACCTTACTTCACCATATAAATACTCCCTCAAACATGCTAATCTCCCAGTTCCTCACTTACTTCTCAGTACCTATTCTTCCACCCAGCCTCAGCTATGCTCACACATTGTTGTGTCCTTGGATCTTGGTGTCACCATCAGATGTATCTCTTTCAGACCATGAACTCTGAAATTCCCTTATCGGATTATAATCTATTGTCATTCCTCCTCTCTCTGCCTCGCTATCACCTAACCCTATTATTCATCCTCACTGTGATCTCCAGTCCCTTAGTCCCCTGCACTGGCTGCCTTCTTCCTTATCTTGAAAAGTTAGACTCTGTTCTGTTTTCTTCTCTAGTCCCCTTGCACTTTTATCCTGTTGCTGATGTTAGCCCACCAAATCTCATCCTTGGATGACTCTCACTATCTGCTACCTGTGTTCCTACTCGTGTGCTGCTCAATAAAGCTTCAGAAGATAGCAAAACCATGTTAATTGAATCCAGTACAAATTTATGCTGGGCCCTTGGTATGGTAAGGCAATCCTTAGTTAACTCATTGTTCCACTCACCAGAGCAATTTTTCAGAACTTTTTCATTTCTGCTCAAACCTTCCATGGCTTCCGCTTGCCCCATCTTCTCAGCTAAGAACCTTGTCTCATATTTCACTTAAAGAACAGGTCATTTGATAAGAACTTCCTCTTTCTTCTCTCCTTCTCAAATGACGACTTTCCAGGTGGCTTCTGCAAATATTTCCACCTTCATTCCTGTCTCACGTAATGAGGGACCCTTCTCCTTCCCAAGGCAAAACCATCTACCTGAACAAGTGATCCCATTCCGAACCATCTTCCCCAATCTTTCTGTCTACTGGCTACTTCCCTACTGCCTACAAACATGCCCAACTCTCGCCTATCCTTAAAAAAACTCTTACTCGATCCATTCAACCCATTAGTTATTGTCCCGTATCTCTCCTATGTGCCAGACACTGGGGATATGGATACAAAGAATGAAACAATGCCTATTTTCAAGGAGCTTATTTTCTAACTAAAGTACATGAGTTGATTATCCCTTGTTCTTACTATGTGACTAGCAAACTTTTTGATTATATATTTCTTTGATGGCATCTCTTTCAAAATTCCTTTTTTATTTTGTTAGTGCCTACTCATATTAACTGTGTGCCTTGTCATTGCCCTCTGAGTGATACCCATTTTTAATTCTTCCAGAATTGTCATGTTCCATGACTCTTAGCCATCCAACATTGGTGGAATATCAATATTAAAATGATAGATCTTTTTATAAGAAGTTGGGAATTATTGAAGAAATTGTTGAAGGCAGTTCTACCTACTTTCTTCCTCCTGCTTAATTCTGGATCCAGTTCATTGTCTGTGAGACAGAGACAGAGAGAAAATGAGGAAGAGGAGAGAGAGAGAAGGGAGGGGGGGAGAGAGAGAGAGATTAATGGATAAGCTCAGTGGGTTGTCCGTCCAATAGAATGTAGGCAAAAGGCATTCTTTATCCACTTGGTCTTTGCAGTGTATGTAAGCCAGTCTTCTTTGAGTGGTTGCAGGTCTCTTCTGGAAGGCTCTTTCATGTTTTAGGACTTTATGCAACCAGCACAGTGTCATTCACAAACAGGAGTCTCAGGAGGACCTCACTATCCACAGGGAATCCTTCTTCAAGTTGAAATCTGCGTTAGATCTCCTCTATCTCAGTGGCAATCACTTTTGGCTACCATACAATTTCCTGTTTAATGTAGTACCTGATGTTTATGATCAGGGATAGTTAAACAAGGTTATTTTTGTTGTTATATCTTTCAAAGAATCTTCAGTGATTTTGACATATGGATTGGAACATACCTTGTTGGAAGAAAGCCTTTAAGGTGATATTTTGTTATACTGAATCAAATGCTTTTTCATAATCAACTGAAAAGAAGTACAGTGGGGTCTTGTCTCTTTCAGTCAATATGTGATGGTAAAGATGGAGTATGATGTAGGATATTACTTGAAAAAGTTTGCTTGTTCCATGTTAATGCCCTCTTTGAGGATACCTTGTGTGTGTGTGTGTGTGTGTGTGTGTGTGTGTGTGTGTAGGAGTCAAAAAAATATTTTGTTTAAATGGGAGAGTACACATATAGGTCATTAGTTGTTCGTGGTTGCTCAATATCTTTCCACCCCGCCCCCTAGTATTGATAAAGTCTGAATTTTCCAGAACTTGATTATCTTCCCATTTTCCCCACCTTATAAACTGGTCTCTTAATGCCCTCATAGTATGTATCTCCTCTGTGTATACTTTTTCTTATCTGTACACTTTTGCTCTCTTGGTTCTCTGGAGTACAGTTTCCACATCTTCTGTGAGCACACTTTGGACTGTGATGTTAGCACTGTCATATTAGTGACTACTGTTCTTGATAGTGAAAATAGTTTCTGGATCATTTCTATTTTCTTTCTGTTTGCTTCTTCCATTATCATGCTTTAGATGCCCTTGGGTGACTGGTCAGTTGGATCTCTTGCCAAGGCCTTTTAAAACTGGTTTACCGTCCACTGATTCTCTCTGTCTTACGAGATCATACTGCCTATAATCATCTCTATTTATAAGATTTTACAAATGAGTTTATTTTCTAAATTGATGCTTCCTTTGGCTGCCACCATCTTCTGCTTTGCAAATAAGTAAAGGGCTTTCTAACTAAGGTACTCTTTAAGCTCTTTTGGTGTTGTTTAGCAATTGATTTATATTGGTTAAACTTCTGTATTAAAATTATTATCAGTACTGATTGTCATGTTTGCTATCGGGTGTGCTAGAGCCAGCTCAAACTGTCTTGCAAGAGGCAATTGTTAAATTTTCAACTTCAGCACTTACACCTCTGAAATTGGCACATGATACAAATAAGGGCA